CCCCTAAAAATTTTTCATCTATTCGGATTTTCTAGCTGAAAGTCTAGTGATCCGAAAATTATAGGGATCAATACTTACCTTTTCGAGAATTTCAGCCAGAAAAAAGGCTTCCGAAAATTTAGGGTAAAAATCCGTTAAAATGGGCAATTATACCATTTTTTAGATATTCGAACATCCTAGGAGAGGCAGGCAAGCAAGAAATTGTACAACAAATGTTCCGAAAATTTTAGATCTCAAATCGTCTTCCGAACAGATATTTTCCGAAAATTGACTTTGGGTGCCCCTGTAGATTGGTCAAGTCTTGATTTCATCGTCAGCTATTACCAAGTGACAGGCTTTGCAAACGGTTAGCAGTAGAGTCATTTACGGGCACGTCTCGCGGAAGTCTTGTCTTGCTGGATACATTTGACTGAAATTCTTTCGGGTTCTATTTCAGGCAATGAATCGTGTTTATACCGTTTTGTGCTGTGCATGTGCCTTAGTTCAAGTATGACAGCATAGCCTATGACAAACAGCAAAAGTAAAAAGAACTTCTAACAGACGTATGGCTATGTAAAAAAGGCACTAACAAGATTAAGACGAGATAGCATTAGTATTCAGGTCAGGATTACCTTAAATATTTCGCTGAAGACTCCACGTTTGCTTGTAGCTTTTCCCGTTGAAAAAGGTCTATGATAAATTATACCAGAAGCTTCCTATGTTCACTTTGTTAATGTGGACGCTTGTTGATTTCGGACACTATAGTTCTCTTGGTATATAAGATGCCAATAATCACATAATTCCTGCTTCAATAACAGATACCTTTGTAATCCGTCCACTTGAGTCTGTCTTTATGTAAGGAAGTTTGACCTCAACGCATCACAACTAATCTACAACTAAGTAAACAAACTAACGAACTGAACCAATCAGAATTCGTGTTGTTCAACATATCGCAAAAAGGAATTGACAGCAGGAACCGTAATTAACCAAACCGTTTTTTTTTTTTTTTTTTTTTTAAAACAAAATTTTTGTGGCAAAGTACAGAAAAAAGTGTACTTTGTTGGATTTTCTCCTTTAGTCATTGCATCCGGTTTTTATGACTACAGTGGAATTCCTGAGTTTTTGAACAATCGATTGTTTGACCGCCATCCAATCATTCCAGTCAAACCATTCGGCTGAACTGTGCAAGATTATTTGTTTTGTTTTCCTTTTCGTCAGCCAGTATTGTCAGGAGTTAATGGGCTTGGCTTGGCTTGGTATTTTACAGCATGAAATTTGCGTTTGACTTCTGTCACCTTTGGTTAAATTTACTGCAGTTCTAGCTGAGCTGTATGGCGTCATTAGCTGTATGAGATAACTGTATAACGTCATTTTTCCTTTTAAGGGCTGAAGAAAACGTGAAATGTTTAAGCGCGATTACTAAGTTTTCGGTTAATGAGCTATCAACAGAAATAATTTTAAGTCGAATATTATATATACTCCTTATTCGTTGGCTTAACGGACAATAATTTTTGAGGGCATTTTATCCACTTTTCGTAATTTTCTCGTAAAAAACCCAGTGCATCTTGCTTGCTAAAAGATCGCACACTTTTTTGGCGAGTTGACTGAAAAGGTCTAAAATGAGCTTTGACAGAAGTTTTCGGAAACGGTAATGAAAGTGAAGTCTTTGGTAAACGGAGGCCTATCATTTTAGCGTGGATGCCCAAGGACAAAAAAAAAAACGAAGGTATGTGAAAACGCTCGCATCACAGCTTCTAATGAATGATACTGCTTCGCCCATAACAACGCAACAACAACGCCGAAAACTTAAACAGCCCGTACACGGTGTATACGTCCGGGAATAGTCTGATAACAATCGTATCGTAACTTTTAAAGGAAGATATGATCGTCGCAGTAGTAATTGCAATTTAAGCAATTGCAAATTAACCCTGAGAGAAAAAAAAAATTAATTCGGGACTTCAACGGGATTCGAACCCAGGGCCTATGCGTTAGCGCTCCAGTGCTCTACCGACTGAGTTAGGAAGACCTGTACATTGGAAGCAGGCCAATTTGTTGAGTTCATCTTAACCCGTGTCGTGAAAGGAATAAAACAAAAAATGAAGATCATGTCAACTGCGGAAATAAAAACTTGTGCGCGACGGAAAAGAATCCGCCGAAAACGTTAGCGCTGACGCTAAAAGTTTAATTTTTTAATTTTGCCTGACGTCCTTTTTCCTGCATATGGGCGTGTTTTGAAGTTGAGCTGGGGTAGGGAGGGAGAAGTGACTGTAGGAGGGTCTCAATGGGGTTAACCGATAGGCGTAAAACGGCCCAAAATTTAGTCGATAGCCGTAAAAATTGAAATATTTTAACCGTTAGCCGTAAATAGGGTAGAAAGAGTTAACCGCAAAAAAATTTTGCTCCTTAGATTTAATAATTTTGAGGAACGTGCTAAACTCCCTTAGAACGGTTGTGTTTCTTATTTCGCGGCTACTTTGACTCTTTACGTTCCCATTTCTGCTAGTTTTGCTTTTCATCAAGATTTTTTTCAAATAAACTGTTATGTCTTTTTATTAGGAATGGTCCCTTTCATGGCTCACAAACAATTTTAATTGACTGGCAATAGCTCAACCTTTTGTTTCTACTTTAAACAAAGAGTTCATGTCATTTTACTAGAATGAGAAAACTGTGGCAAAGATCTTCAAAGCCGCGTACTTCTCAGCTTGGCTCCGACACTTGAAGATGTGAGAGTAACAGAAATGTTCGAGTCTCAATTGTATGCTTGTTCTTTTTTAGTTCATGTTGTACAATCTGTTCTTCAGTGGGTAAAGACCCGATCGTGATAGTAAAAAGAGAAGAGAGTATCAAATACAAAGCGACGCGAAGAACGAATCAGTAGCCCCCGAAGAAAAGGAAATCACGCCAAGATACAAAAGATGAAAAACTTTTTCATAGTTAACATTTCTATGCGTAAAATGATATTGGAAGTAAAATACTCTAAAAGCATGATTTATGAAATATTAAGAATTTTCAGAAGAATAACTTATTTCATCCCGAGATGATCCTAAGACATTTATTTTGCTTTAATGATACAAAGAAATACAGGTTTATTAATAGTTAACTCTTTGAAGCAAAGAAATTAATTTTTAACTTTATAGTTAACCGTAACTGAAAAAAATTAACCGATAGCCGTAAAAGAGCCAACATTGTAGCCGATAACCGTAAATACCACCACCCCATTGAGACCCTCCTGTAGGAGCAAACAAATCCTTCGAAACATTTATGGATTTAGAGCCAAGATCATCGCTAAATATGACACAGAAGAAAAACTCAGCAGCAAAGAATTCTTTAAAAGAAAGTGGTTACTGACGCCTTATTTAAGTTAACTGTATTAACTCCGTATTATTTCATTGTCCTGTTGTACTTTTTTATAATTTCTTTTAGCGCTGTAATAGTTTAACAATTAATTTTGCTTTACTCTGTTAATGTCTATTGTTAAAGTGTTTTTTCTTAGTATTGTAAACGTAATTCTTTATTGTGATTATCAATAACTATATTTAAAAACAAAACAAAAAGTAGCTTTTTATTTTTTTGTTTTATAATTATACCGTAGCGCACACGGGATTAGCCTGTGTACAGACGCTCCTTCCCCTCACTAAAAAAAATCCCTTTTTTACAAAGAGAAGGGGGCATCTGTACACGGGCTAACACGGGATCAGTAGAGCCTGAATAAAGTAGACAAACACTGAAATAGTTAAAGAAAGTAATCATTGATTTCAGCCGACTGGCGTTTACTCTAATTATGTTTCAACTGTTCAATAATCATTCATCAGTCGTAGAGGACAATAAGACGCACTGAAATGGAAACCCAGTACATTCAGTTTTCTCTGCCCAATAAAATGATAGAGAGAAGTTCAAGCATTCCAGACTAACATAACGTTGACTTTCGTAGCCTTTGGAACTCTCAAGCATGTTTCCACTTCGTTTTCCATAAATTTGTTTCTCTACAACCCTGGCTTGGGAGAAGCGATGGCTGATAAAAGTTCCTTTCACTCTTTAAGGGTTTCCATGTTAATGCTCATCTGCACATCTCTGCAAGAAACAAAACTGGCAAGAGTCCATAAGATATTGTACGGTTGATACAATGGTTACCGGTCGTTTTGATACAAGCCGCTTCGATACAAGTTTATTCCTTCGAGGTGTAAATAGTTTCACGTATTTGGCTTAAAGGACGAAGAATATTCGCCGACAATGTTTTTCTTGTTCAATTGCAAACTTTACTTGAAGTGATGGAAATTTTTGTGGAATTTCACTGCTTGAGTTAGTATCGAAACGACTTGTATCGAAACGACTTTGTACCGAAACGACCACTGTTGAATGCGATTATTCGCTTTCAATCTGCGCAATCTTTTCGAAGAATGGTCGGCCATGAACGCAAGTCCTCGTATCATCTGGAATCTGATTGGTCATCCGGGAGATTATGTCATTGACTTCGCTTCTACTCATCCGGGAACTCAGGCCTCGAGCTACTCGCACCGCCTCGCCCTACATAAACAAAAATGGAAAAGTGACCAAAAAAAAAAAAAAAAAGTTTAAAAAGAGTTGTTTCGGTTGACTGGCTTCAAAAGCTGAATATCAGGCTGTGGTCACTGGTCCTTTCTCATTGCAAATTGAGGAAAGAATACGAAAAAATCACCCACGGGCACTTTAAAAAGCAAAGACAAAAGCGACTTTAGTTTCCCGATATTTCGTACGGACAAGCCGTCCTTCTTCTTCCGAAATATCGGGAAACCTCAAGTTACTTTTGTTATCGCAGCTTTGTTTGTATTCTTGTCTTGGGTAAAATCATTTTATAAAAAAGTTCTGTTTCTGTTGTAACGGCTAAGAATAGGTTGCCGCGCAACGAGAGAGTAAATAAGAGTAAAAAACCGATAAGTTTCATAAGCAAAAAAAAAAACATCTCTGCACATGCATCACACTTTTTGGTAAATTTTTTTGCTCGTTTCTTGGTTTTCACCAAATGACGTAACGAAAAAGATTGAAAAGACACTGAACAATAGTAATAAAACAAAACATTAGCTAACCAATAATGGTTTCCCGCAACACCAAGAAACAACCACCAGAGGTACCTTCTGGCACCTCGCTCTTTCAGTTCTGAAGACTATCAGTTCATGTAATCCCACGCGATTTTGAGTTCGACACTTTTGTGAGTTTAACCTAGCCAAAAAGGGATGAGCGTTCTAAACATTTTGAAAACATATCTTCTCAGTACAGTTTAAACATCGTATTTACAGTGGACTCTCTTGTAATTTCTTTGATTACCTTATTTTTAACACTAATAAGACCGCTTTCTGTTAAGCAAACACAAGTTAACTGTAGAAGACAACTTGAATCCGCAGTGTAAACAAGATAACAAGCCTGTTGAGGTGCTACAAACCTGTAGATAGTGGATAACCTTAAATGGTCTGCAGCTTGTCAAAGATTTGGAATTACTGTCGCCGTTTTTTTGATTCACGAGTTCTAAAATAGAAAACATAGCAAAGAAGAGTGGTCTCTTAAGGTTATTCCTCTGAAGGTTTACGAATAATTTTTCTCAAACTTTTCCTATGTGAAATTCAATACAAGTAGACGGTAGAAATGAAATAGAAAATGGAGGCCCCTATAATAACTACTGAAAATTGTTGGTTGACGGCAACCATCCTCTTGAGGAATTTGTTGTCAATTTATGATCAATCTTTAAACTATACTTTGTTCATTTTCGTAGAGCCAAAATAACGTTCACCCGAGATGCAAGAAATAGAAAAAGCTAACGTACATGTGGAAGGCACTCTACAAACCAGAATGCAATGAAAACGACTTCGTAAATGCGGAAAACCATGCCGGAAAAAAGAAAAAACACCGGTAACAAGGCAGCCAATACAAAACGACTACAAAACTGTTTGGGACTAAATGCTTGCTCAGGGAAGACGAACCGAAGTCCAAGTCGATGCACTCATGCGTTCACTCAATAGAGACCTTTAGATTCGAGGACAAGAACAACTAGCAGGACGAAATTTGACGGCTGATAGCTTCCGCGTGTATTCTCAAAAGATAACCAACCTAGAAAGCTTCATTGCAAGTTTTTTCACCAAATAAGTTAGGACTGTTATCTTTATTGAAGGAGGTTAACTGAAGTCCTTTTCCGATGTAAAATTCGTTAACTTGTTTCCGTCACTACAAAATTCTCGCTAAAACGCGTAGTACAATGAGGACGGCTACCAGGTTTTCCCGCCAAAATGACGCTGGTTCACGCACGCTCGCAGCTACTTAGTATTGAGAAAATCTCGTACTCGCAGTTGTACTCGTCTTAGAATCTAAAGATCTCTGATATAACTGGGCAGCTACGGTTAATGTACTTACCAAGAACTTCTGCCAGATCTGGCACTCCATAGAATGGAATAGTAGTAGACATTTTGTGCAGCTCTAGCTTGGTCTCTCCACTCTCTGAATCTATTTCAAGGGGATAAATAACAAATCTTTTATCGCCATTGTAATAGACAATTTTTGAGAAAGGAAGCAATGCAATAGGCGTTTCCTAAAAGGTCAGCGGTTATCAGTTGAGTGTAGAAGATGACTTTAAGCACCTTAATTTTACGTGGTTGCAGGGACGCCTACANCGTTACGTGCCGGCGACGGCACGTGCAACCACAACCGAGAGCGAGCACTAGTCCTTGGGGGGGGGGGGCGCTCCACGACAGTTTAAAAAGGGGGGAGGCCTTTCTTTTTTTTTTTTGCGCCCCGGGGCCGCTTTTTGCTGTAAAAAAAAAGGGGGGGGGGGGGGGGGGGGGAGTGGCCTCTCCCCTGGATCCGCCACTGCAGACGGACTCTATGAATTACCGGAAATGCGTTTCGGACTCCCCTTCAACCTGATTGGCAAATTGACAATAGCTTTATTAACAGGCCAATCGTGGCAAGACCAGTCACGACCAGTGGTCTTGCAGATCAGTCTATTCAAATTCGAGCACAGGGCAGGGGTGATCTATTTGGCCAATGCTTTCCCAAAAAGACTTTTACCTGAGTATTATACGCTTATACTCCTGTGGATCGTATGATAACATTTTTGGATCAATGACGAGACGATCAGAACGATTAGAGGAAACAAAGCTAATGTCACTTGTTCGCGACTGCTTCACACGATTTTACTCACCATAAGGGTACGTTACCGTAAATTTTTCAGGTGCAGTTTAGGGTTCGAAAAAGAACTTTAATTCCACCTTGTCATTTGGATTTGCAACTTTCGACCTTTGCTTTTCTGGGGCCATTGCTCACTTGTCTAACTTACTGATTTACAGTAGAGCCCCTCACTCGAATTCGGATAACTTGAGCTAAGTCCAATTTCCCTCGGATTTCAACCCACTTTTCAGTCATTTTTACTCGGTTAACTCGAACTCGGATAACTTGAACTAAGTCCAATTTCCCTCAGATTTCACTCCACTTTTAAGTCATTTTTACTCGGTTAACTCGAACTCGGATGACTTGAACTACTAGTCCAATTTCCCTCAGATTTCACCCCACTTTTCAGTCATTTTTACTCGGATAACTTTAACTCGGATAACTCGAATTCCCCGCTAACTCAAAATAAATTTCCTTTCCCTTGATCAAAAAGTCACTGAAAATTACCCGATAACTTGAATTTTGGTTCTTGTAACTGTATTCGCAAGCCGTTCTTTTAGCTGTTCTTGTTATAGAATCAGAAAAAAGAAAAAAATCTAACACTGGCTAACACTTAACAGCAATTTGATTTTAACTGGTGCAACGAACAGATGACGTTTTAGCATAAAAAATGCCTAATCATATTACCGTTTCTGATAAATAAGTTAAACTTGCGCTGCAGTAGCACTATACACTGCCGGAAGTGCTGAAAAATCAGTAACTACCAATTTTTAACACTGAAAATTGAATTTTGGAATCGAACCCGATAACTCAAACTCTCGGTACCTTGAACTGTTCCTCGCTTCCCTTCAGAGTTCGAGTTAGGAAGGTTCTACTGTAGTTGAAAGGTGATTTGCTAATTGGCCAAGATAGTAAGAAAAGCTACTTGATTAGCAAAAAAATCTAATTATTGTTCCGGACCACTGGACAGGACTTTTTCGGGTCCTAAATCTGCACAATTCAAGAGAGAGCGTTGCAAATTTAGATTTACCCCATTTTACTAGACTTTTTCACGGTCTAGAAAACTGGTTCGCCGCAAATTTCAAGACTCCCTCACGAATTTAAGACTTTGAACGAACCCAGTAATGCACACTTACCAGTCTTCAAACAGACGTCAAATCCGTTCGCAGTTAACCTCTCGTCGTCAATAAATCTAACACAAATGTGTAAGAAAGGATTTGTTTTGAATCCTGCAGATCAAAAATCTTCTATTTTAACACCGTACTACACTTCAAAATCTCGCAGAAACACATGTTTTGTCGCGTTTCTTTATGGCTCTGAACCAACAATGACAGTCATACGTTTGTAAGGCCCGCCCTAGGCGTTCAAAGGATTGTGGGAAAGGCACAAAAGGATGTGAGCAGGAAAAACGGTGAGGGGTGGGGTAAGGGGTGAGAGCGAAGGAAGCTCTCTCCTCTCTCCCGCTATTCTTCCTCATTTTTTTTTCCCGCTTCCACTATCTGAACGCCTGGAAGAGACTATTTAACAAATGGTTAATGGCTCAGTGTGTACTATTGAGTTCTAGTTGCACGCGGGAGGTTACTAAGCACGAAAGAAGCGCGCTAGCTTTCGTCACCATTCACCCACTAGCAAATAGCAAATGGGCAATTGACCAATCAGAGCGCGCGCTTTGCTTTGTTATGTAATAAAAGTTTGTTGAATATGGCCGACTAGGTAAGGATAGTCAAGAGTAAGACTTGTTGGTAATGACTAATATTTCGACAACCTGTGCCGAAGTCATTATCGAGATCAAAGTGAGCGGTGCATCGTCAGTTGATGGTGCAGACTTGCAGCGGCTTCCTATCAGTAATCAACTGAAAGTGCCACAATGATATACAAAAGAACCGTAAATGAAACCATTATGCGACCATCCTACAGTATGTGTGGATTTTTTCAAAAGAAATATGAAGAAACATACACTTCAATATAGAAGGTGATGATTAATTGTGAACCAGTAATACCGCTACCGTCGCGTGTTTGAGTGGCCAACGCCCATCAAGCGGCCACCTGACGGTATCCCGAGCGGTACCCCAAGGGTAGCCGCTTAATGGAGGTTTTAACTGAATTCCCTCTTGAAGAAGAGATACAATTGGTGGTTATGTTTTAATTTAAGTAAGTCAAGATCTTATTAGCTGTGAAGGCCCTTGCCTGTTCCAGGCTCTCAGATAGTGGGGCAGACGCGAAAGAAAAAGGGGCGTTTGCGCTTTCTCAATTCAGCGGACCCGACCATCGCGGAGCCTGGAACAGGCTGTGAAGGCCCTAAACCGAAAACACGAAGGAAATAACCACCAAATTTATCCCTTCTTCAAGAAGGAATTATGCTAATGCATTTGTACCTTGCTGTATTTGGGGGGTCACACTTGCTTCTCATGCCAAGTAGTGTCTTCCAGCATTCAGGACCACCAACAATTCTTGTAACAAGAAGAGGAACGAACAGACCAACTATTAGGTAACACACATTGTACATGTATAACAAGAATATACATGTACTGTAAGCAAGGGCTCATGATGTTAAGTTTTTTAGCCCGTGGGGGGGGGGGGGGGGGGGGGGGG